GTGACAATTAATTGACAGGACAGGGGGTTAGACTCAAGGCCACTGCCTTTCCGAGTACCTCATTAGTTTACTATTGCTAGCCAGAGACAGTCTCAATTTCAGAGTCAGTGATGAATCGCCGTGTAAATACCTAAAAAATTCTACGCATCGTCAAGAATAGCAGAGTTGGGGATCATGAAGGATAAGTGTAATTTCATTTTGGGAGAAAAGTGTGGAGCAACTAGTGAACATTAGAAGGTGCCCCTTGCTCTGAATTTATATGTTGAGACCTTCAGCTCTGAAGTGGTGGCATCAGCAGGTGAGGCCTTTGGGAGCTGATGGCTTAAGTGTCCTCATCCAGCGAGGCCCGGGAGCTTATTTGTCCTTTGTGAGGGCTGAGGGACAGGTATCACCTATGAGCCAGAACTCAGACCTCTCTGTGCCCCAACCTGCGGGTGCCTTGGCCTTGAACCTGGGCCAGCCTTGGGTCTGTAAGGAACAAGTTTCTGTTGTTTGCAAGCCACTCAGTGTGTGGCATTTGGTCACAGCCTGCCCTGACCAAAGCAGATGCCCAAGGTGCTGCTTTCTCTTCTTTCCTCCTCTCCATTTCTTCTTCCTTCTCCTTTGCTCTCCAGTCTTGCTCCAGAGGAAGCTTTCTGAGATGAATGTGAACCCTCAGCCTATGGTGTCCTGACAATAAAAGCGAGCAGGGTCCCATGAAGAAACACTTGAGCGTGGGCACTTTGCTGCCTGGCGGCACAAGGCACCACACATGAAGTGTTCTCAGAGAAGCTTCACTGGCTTCAAAAGGGATATTTTGAGAGCACTGAAGTAAAACCTAGTTAGAATTTGAATTTTTACAAATATGCACAGTTCAACTGACCTCAGTGACTTGCGATTTAATATCTTCCCTAGAAATTGCTTTTCAGAATTGTGGTATGCATGTATAACTTTATTGGAAAGAAAGAACTGTGATCAAAAAGTATCCTAAAGTTTGAAAGATTTCCTGGAGCTCACTCAGTGCTTTTTCATGTCATGAACAGGATAAGTCGCTTCTGAACACAAACAGAAGACAACTGAAAGGCTTCATACACAGTGCTCTGTGCCTGCACAGGAAGACTAGAGGGCAATAGTTTTAATAGTTCTAAAGGAAATCTCTGAGCGTATATCAAAAACCCATAGGAAACACCATGAAGTTAGTCTTTCATATTTTTAAGTAACTTACATAATCATTTCTCAGTAACATTAAAAAAACATATATAAAAGCTATTTAAAGACATAGTTATGGGGACAGTTAGGTTTGTAGATCATAGAAAGTGTGTTAGAACTTTTGCCAGCAGAACAGGTTTCTGATTTATTCTTCCTTAGAAACTGCAAAAAACCTCAAACCAAACCAAAACAAAAACCCAAAAGTAAAAGCAAAAATGTTCTGCCTTATTCAGACATGCCTCACTGTTGAGAAGGGCAGATGTCTCTGTTTCTGTGACAACAGGAAAGCAAGTGCTCCTACCCCTGCTCGGGCAGGCAGGTTGGCACAGCAGAGGACATGGGGCGGTGCCCTCTCCCAGGTCCAGCGAACTTTGTTCCATACATACTTTCCTGGAATTAAACCATCACCCACGGATGGAGGCTGTGGAGTCGGGTGAATGCTTGATCACAGAGATTCTCAAAATTTTAGGTCCAGCATTATTCTCTTCTAAATTACTGAGAATCCCAAAGAACATTTGTTTATGTGAGCTACAGCTTTTGATACTGGATAGCAATTAAAACTGACAAATTATGTACAAGAACAGACAAGCAAACATCCCATTAGCCACCAGGGCTATGTCATCATACCATACAATTTTTCTAGAATATTTCACATTTTTTGATTTGTTTTGATTTTTGTTTTTTGCGGCAAGGTCTCACTATAGTTCAGGCTGGCCTTGAACTCATTATGCAGCCCAGGCTGGCCTCAAACTCTTGGTGATCCTCCCGCCTCAGCCTCCCAAGAGCTGGGATTACAGGTGTGTGTCACCACACCTGGCTTCTAGGACACTTCACGTATACTCCTCAGGAAATGAGAATAAAAGTTGTAAATGATGAATTAATATCATTATAAAATCAGTTTCTACCTCATGAGTGCCTTCAAAGAGTCTTGGGAATTCCTAGAAATCTACAGATCACACTTTAAGAATGGCTGACTTATAGTTGGAGAACCTAAAATTCTTATAGTATAAGAAATATACAATTTTCTTATTCTTATCTTTAAAATCTGTACATATTTATTTCTTCCTCCCAGTTTAGCATAACTTTCTTTGCATTTTAGGCTATTTTTTTAGTCAGTTGGTAATGTCTTTTTTGAGAACAAGTCTTTGAAATAAAACTGAACATCAACAGGGAGATGGAGTTCACTTCACAGAAATTTATCTTCAAAACCCAAGAAAGTCATATGAAGAATAAGAAATTCAGTGCTACTACATGTTTTATAAGAAGGAAGCTATAACTTAATTCAAAAGCCACAGTTTTATGCTTTTTGATTCTGCCTGCATCTGGCTGGAATACACATCTCGCAAATACCCCTCTCGTGAGCCCCACTGAGTCCTGGCTGCCTGTTCTCACCCTGAAGACTGCCAGGGGACCTGGTAGGCTGGCCTAGCGCCACACCCTCCTCACCCTTGCCACCCCACCATCACTGCAGAGTCAGGGAGAACATAGGGAGCTTCAAAAATGACACAAGGAAGGAACCAAGGGCACTCTCAGACTTCTAGCCCACCAAAAACAAGTCCAAGGGACAAGGTCATAAAAGAACTTGGAAATCACACACCTGAAATTTCTGAGATGACAGCAACTAAAGCAAACAACTCCATCAGGCTATGAAGGAAATCAGATCACAAATAATCTCTCAGATAAAAAAGGAAACGTCAACATTTATGAAAGAATTGCTTGATATATCTTTGGAAGACATAGATAAAAAAAAAGAATAGGAAAATGATGGAAACATTGAATGAACAATATAGGAAAGAACTAGAATGCATGAAGCAGATTCAAACTGATGTCCAGCACATTAAAAATTCCATGAAGGCAGGCAAAACTGTTTCAGCAAAACAAAAGATAGAATTTTAGACCTTGAAGATAACGTTGCAACTAGTGCATATGAAAGGAGATATCTTTTAAAAATAACAAGGAACCAGGACATAGCAATACAACAGCTGCAAAATGATGCAAAGAAAAATAATATAAGACTGATAAGTATCAATGAAATAGCTGGAGATAACACAAATGACATAAAAAAGATGGTTTGCAGATATAGTAGCAGAAGATTTCCCAAGCATAGCAAAAGAATTGGACATACAGTAACTGAGGCATACTAACTCCAGCTAGCCATAATCAAATAAATTTTCACCCAGACACATAATAATCAAGATTCCAGAAATTGAGCCAAAGAACAGAATATTAAAAGTTGTTAGAAGAAACAGATCACTGATAATGGAAAGCGCATCAGAATCATGACAGATTTTTCAACACAGACCATAAAATCAAGAAGAGCTTGGAGTGAGCTATTTCAGGTCCTGAAAGAAAACAACTTACAACCCAGACTGATATACCCTGCAAAACTATCTATCAAATTTAACAGAGTGATAAACTACTTCCATGACAAAGAACAACTGAAGAAATTCATGACAACCAAACCAACCCTACAAAGAGTACTGACAGAAACAAAGATGACCACAAATACCCCTTTCCCTCCCACATTCCCTGTCCATAGTGGCCATGACTAGACTACCAATCTTTATGGCATTTACAGCTTATTTATTTGGGTGGCGCAAATCGAACTCAGGACCTTACCAGGCAGGTGCTTGTGTTATTGAACTATATCTCTGGCCCTCAGCATTTTTATTTAAAGCCACAGTTCTTCCCTCTCTGGACCTATGCCCTTACAAGGTGCTATCGTGATCCTCCTGCCAAGAGGTGACATCTAGTTTCACTCTCTAGCTCTCGGAAGCCTGTGGCTTGATCTGGCCAAGGAGTCTTGGCAGGCACCGTGGAAAGGCAGGCTTGAGAACCACCTGTGCCCTGGGCCTTGTGCTGCTCATTGCTCACCCTGGGAGCACCACGTGGCCACGCCCCGCTGGCCTGCAGAAGGGTCAGTGGCCCACGACAGAGCATGTAGGCGCCCCTGCTAAGGCCAAGCTACCAGCAGACCTGCAAACGAGACTGCCTCGTGCCGCTAGCCTTCCAGTAGGCCTGCTGGCTCCCAGAGGATACGAGAGGAGCCTGGGAAGAGCTCACAGCATTACTCTGTTTGAACTGCCAACCCACAGATCAGTGAGCTAAATCAATGTTTATTGTTTTCAGCTACAAGTCTTGTGTTTAGACAAGATAGCATGTCTGCATCTTGTACCATGAATAACTCCTATGAAGACAACAATAGGCAATGTATTAATTATTGTAACCATCCTACTAGCCTATTTTGAAACTGTCTCATTGCTATGTCTTTCTCAATAAAATTAATTAAAAACAAACAAGTCTTGGGATGGTTTTAGTATAATGAAGACCATTAGATAGATCAATTTATATTTTATTTGGAGCTGTTAGGTAACACACTTCAAGTTAGACTTTTCTATGGGCTTAATTCTAGCATGGACTCTTTCTGATATTTAACTTCCCTCTTCTGTGTTTCAGCTTTTCTGCCTCGAGGACAGGCATACTCTCAGGAAGGTCAGTAGAAGTTCTCATTCAAATGTAGGTATAGGATAGTTTTTCACATCCTTTTTTCTTTTTTTTTTTCAACAATTTCACCGGAACCCACTAAGGGCGACATTCCAACATCAATGTTCTCTACCAATGAGATAATATATATTACTTAGCAAACTACCAAATATTGGATGTGTGCAGCGTCGTAATTATTAGCTAAGAAAGAGTCGAGCTACAGAATTGTTGGAAGGCTAAGAACAGCCCCCTCCGAGAGCAGGCCTTTCCCTCTGAGCGGCCCCTGCCTGTCCGCTCAGCAGCGCCAGGCTGGCAGAATCGCTGCTTACCTGGGACTTGAAGTACGTCTCTTGGGGGGTGGCCAGCACGTCTGCGGACGCGATGTCTAGGTGCATGAGAGTCTGCCTAAAGGAAGGCCGGTTGCGAGGTTTACTCTGCCTAAAAAAAAAAAAAAAAAAAAGACAGTTTATGCACCTTGGAAGTCAGGATTTGGAGCATGAAAATTTTATTCTACTTTCTGAAACACATTTGTTGTACTCCAAAATGGCTATATTGCAGACAATTCTGATGTTCTGAAGGGCAAAAAGGCAAGTAATTAGGAGACTCTACTCCTGATGAAACAGAAGTCTAGCTAGACTCACAGACCTGTGTAGCAGTCCACTAGGACCACCAGGGGAAAAGCAGTATTACTTACTAAGGCACATGAGTTCAAGGGACAACACCAAACCTAGGAGCCTTATTTAGTTACAGTGCAATAACCCTAGGAGCAGGTGCTATTTCTGTTTTACAGACGAGAAAACTGACACGGGAATGACGTGCCCCAAAGTACACACAGATTCTAAAATGGCAAGGCCAGGGTTTGAATTCAAGTCCTCCAAGTCCACAGCTCCCTGTCTTTTCCACCACCAAGGGATCCTCTTGGTGTTTTAGAGCCTTTTTTAAAAAAAATATTTTAAAGAGTAAAAACAAAAACAAGACCAAAACCAAATAACAAAAAACAAAGACAAAAACAAAGCAACATACAACAATACATATGGTACAGAATTTCAAAACAAGGGGCTGGGGAGGTGGCTCAGTAGAATAAGCACTTCCCTGGCAAGTGCAAGGGCCTGAGTTCAATCCCCAGTTCCGCCAAAAAAACAAAAACACAGAATTTCAAAGCAAGAATAGAAAATTAACCGTGGTTGTGATATTATGCATTATTAGCGTCGGATCTGTTGCTCAGGCTATCAGTTATAGGTATGCAGGATTGGCCATATAATTAAATATTAATTCTTCCATTCAATAAACCTTAATTTTGTTTTAGAGCTTTATATCTGCCTTGAGGAAGAAAACTCAAGAGGCTACTGGAAGAAATACATTTCTTACCATGTCTGTTTCATAAGGATTTTGAATCCATCCGGGCAAGTGGAAGGAACTGGAAGGTGCAGGCTATTGCTTCCAACACCCCAAATAATGGCTGAAGAATCGACATCTTTATAGGGGATCTCTCCCGTCAGCAGCTCCCACAGCACCACCCCAAAAGACCTGGGGTAAAATCAGGAACAATACAATAAGCACACAAATACAAACAGGCATACAACAGAACAACGCGAAAAGCATTCCAGAATGATGGATTTGCATTTTAGTTCTTTATTAAGTTTTTTTTTTTTTTGAGATGGGATATTGCAAAATATTTCAGGCTGGCCTTGAACTCATGATGTACCCAGGCTTGCTTCAAACACATCTCGATCTGCCTGTCCCAGGCTTCACAGCTAGATATTTTTTAATCAAACTGATAGAAATTACTATTATAAGAGAAACAGAATTTTTAGGTAATTTCTGAAAAAGACAATGAAGAGTAACCAACCATGCTAAATATTAAGACATAAAGTCTCAATAATTAATCGTGGTGTGCGTACAGAGCATGACCTGTGGACTGGATAAAAGTAGACCAAATGTAATAGAAATTGAACATATAGTAGAGATGACGTCACAAACTAGTGGGGAAAAATGGACTAGTTAATACATGGTGTTGGGACAACTAGGGAAAAATTAAACTTATCTTTTGGCTATATCAAGATAAATTATAAATTAATCAAATAATTAAATGTGGCTAACATAAATACATATATTCTAAAAGATGCTGGGCACAGTGGCTCACACTTGTAATCCAGGCAGTCTGGGCATGTGAGGCAGGAGAATCACAAGTTTGAGCCTCGCCTGGGCAATTTAGCAAGTTGGAGAGATTCTGTCTCAAAATTAAAAAGAAAAATAGGGCTGGTGAGATGGCTCAGTGGTCTAAAGCACCTACTTAGAACAAGCTTAGCAGAGCACAGGGACCGCGGTTCAATCCCCCAGCACCACATGCCAGCCCGCCCCGCCCCCTGGTGGGCTGAGCTGGCCACACACACACACATAAATAAATTTTAAAAATTTAGTTAAAATATCCTTGTGG